ACAGTCACACAAAAAGAAATTCCAAAAAAGAACCAAATAAATCTTGGAAATGAAAAGCTCCATGAATCAAATACAAAACTCAGTGGAAACCTCACACATAGACTAGATCAACCAGGGACAGATTTTAGGGCTAATACCTTCAGATAATAATAAAAGGGGGGGGGAGAAATTATCAAGAAATCCAAGACACAGTTAAAAGACCAAATGTAAGAAATTCTTGATGCAGAAGAGGGCACCAAGCTATACATCAAAGTAAGAAAATTTTATTTTATGAAATAATAGCAGATACTTCTCAAATCTTGGACATATATGCACGTCCAGGTAAAAGAGAAGTTTAGAACCTCAAATAGTCATGACCAGGAACAAGCCCCAACATGTTAGCAAAGTTAAAATGCTAACAGTACAGAACAAGGAAATAATATTGAATAATATTGGAAGGAGTGCTAAGTCACCTGTAAAGGCAAATCCATTAGACTTGCAGCTTTCCCCACAGGAATGCTAAAGGCCACAAAGGCAGGGCGTGGTGGCACACCCTGTAATCCCAGCACTTGGCAGACTGAGACCAGAGGATCACTGTGAGTTTGAGGCCAGCCTGGGCTACAAATGAGTTTAAGACCAGCCTGAACTGCTTAGTAAAACCCTGTCTCAAAAAAAAAAAAAAAAGAAAAAGAAAAAAGGAAAAGTCCTCAGGACTATTTTTTTTTTTTCTCCGAATGCCTTCAGGGCAGGTTTGGCTGGCTTGAGTTGTGGGGATCGAACCACAGCAACCTGAGGCTGACTGCTTGGTTGAAGCAGCCACTTAAAGAACTGAGCTAAGGGGCAGGCCCCCAAGACTGACTATTTCTAACACTGGTTAGATTTGTTTAAAAATAAAAGTTGAGAAAGAAATAGAAAGATAAATTTCAAACCCTAAAATTAAACAGCTGCCTCCTCAACATCAGACTGAACACAGAAAAACTGAAACTGTTTCCTCTAAAATCAGGAAGGAGATGAGAACGTCTCCTCTCACCACTCCTGTGCAATATGGCCCATGAATTTCTAGCCAGAGCATTTTGGCGAGAGAAAGAAATAAAAGGAATACAAATAGCAATGGAATTCAAAATGTGCTTCTGCAGCCCATATGATCTTGCACTCGTAAGACCTTAGCGCTGGGGATTTAGCTCAGCAGCACAGTGCCTGCCTGGCAAGTGCAAAGTCTTACGTTCGATTCGCCCCCCTCTAAAAAAAAGACCTTAGCCACCACCTGACTGTTAGAGACAATGAACAAATTCAGGAAAGTAGCAGGACACAAAATCAACTATAAAATATTAGCAGCATTTCTACATATCAGTAATGTTCTACCTGAGAAAGAAATCAGTAAAACAATTCTATTCAAAATGGGCCCTGGGGCTGGTGAGATGGCTCAGTGGTCTAAAGCACCTACTTAGAACAAGCTCAGCAAAGCACAGGGACCGCGGTTCAATCCCCCAGCACCACATGCCAGTCAGCCCCGCCCCCTGGTGGACTGAGCTGGCCACACACACACACACACACACACACATAAATAAATGAATAAAATTAAAAAAAATAGGCCCAAATATAAATAAATGCCCACCTACGTACCTATGAAACAATCTAACAAAGGAAGCAAAGGATTTCTACAACGAAAATTATGAAACACTGAAGGAAGGGAAGAAGATACTAGAAGATAGAAAAACCTTCCATATTTGTAAACTAACAGAACTCATGTTGTTAAAGTAACAATATTACCAAAAATGATTTACAAAGTCAGTGCAGTCCCTGTGAAAATGCCAGTAACATTCTTTATATAACTAAAAAGAAAATCTAAAGTTCATACAAAAACACAAAAAACCGGGGCTGGGGAGATGGCTCAGTGGAATAAGGGCTTCCCTGGCAAGCGCAAGGGCCTGAGTTCAATCCCTGGTTCCTAAAAAAAAAAAAAAAAAAAAAAAAAAAAACAACAACCCAAAAACCTAGAAAGCCCAAAGAAATCCTGGGTGGAAAGAGTAATGCTGGAGGAATCACAGTACCTTGATGGGAAATATATTACAAGCCCACAGTGACAAAAGCACCATGGTTCTGGCAAAATAGTACACACATAAACTAATAGAGTAGAACAGAGGACAGAGAAACAAGCCATCTGATTCTTGAGAAAGAGGTCAAAAATATATGTGGGAGGAAGACAGGCTTTTAATAAATGGTGCTAGGACACATGGATATCTGCCTCTATCAGGCTAGAACAGTGAATTCAAAGTGAATCAAAGACCTGTGTAGAAGGCATTTGAGACTGCTAAGCGAGAACATAAGGGAGACATCTGCAAACACAGCACAGGTAGAGGCTTCTTGAATCATTTTCTGAAAACACAGGAAGTCAACAAATGACACCCCAGCAAAGTACTTCCACATAGAAAACAACCAACAGAGTGAAAGGACAGCCTACAGAATGGAAGAAAAATTTTGTCAGCTACTCTTCCGGGGGAGGATTCATAACTAGAATATATTAAGAATCAAAAATAAATCCACAGGGGCCGTGCAGATGGCTCAGTGGAGTAAGTGCTTCCCTGACAAGCACAAGGGCCTGAGTTCAACCCCCAGTTCTGCAAAAATAAATAAGAAAGTGAATTCAATAGACACTTCTCAAAAGCAGTTCAAAGAACCAATAATTATATGAAAAAATGTTCAGCACCTTTAGCCATTTGGGAAATGCAGATCTAGGCTACACTGAGGCCCATCTCGTGCTAGTCAAAGTGGCTATCATCAAGAATACAGAAAACAATAAACGCCTCTATGCTGCTGGTGCAAATGTAAGTTAGTACAGTTGCAAAGGAATTAAGTATGGAGGTTCCTCAAAAAACTAAAAGTAGAATTCCCCTATGACTCAGCTATACCATTCCTTGGTATATACCCAAAGGAGTGAAATTCAGCATGCTCTGTGATACATGCAGACTTATTTACTGTGGCCCGATTCACAACAGCCAAGATATGAACCCACCGTAGGTGACCAGCAATGGATGAATGGATAGAGCAAATAGATTTACATACATAGTGCTATAGTTTACATCATTCAGCCATAAAGAAGAACAAAATGATATCATTTGCAGGAAAACAAACTGGAGATCACGACTGTAAGCAAAATAAACCAGAACCAGAAAGACAAATATTACATGTCTTCTCTAAAATGCAGAGAAAAATAAAAAACAAAAATGCCAAAGATGATATAAAAGATGATGTGGAGACTATAGGGAGACTGTTATTAGACAAGAAGAAGGAAATTGGGAGTGCTGGTGTGTCTTAGTTACTTTTATCATTGCTTAGGCAAAAATAGCCAACACACAAAATTAAAGGAGGAAAGGCTTGTTTGGGCTGGCAGTTTAGAGGTTTCAGTCCCTAACCAGCTTCAAGGCGGGGTGGCTTGGCAGAGGAGCATCACAGAGGAGAAACAGGCAGGCAGAGGGCAGCACAGCAGTGAAGCAGCTTCTTCCTGCCCCTTTGTGTTCAATCAGGCCGCCTGCCTTTTGGGGGAAGCCATCCACACCGAGGTGGGATCCTTACTCCTAGCATCACATGACCTAATGCAGCCACCTTCCAAATCCCACTGAACCATGAGGCTTTGCAGGGACATCTAGGTACAAGCGGTAACATGGCATATGGGGGGTAATGGGGGATGGGTATGACCAAGATATGTTATATGTGAGTGTGAAAAACCATAATGAAGCCCAATATTTTGCAAAATTAATACACACTGGTAAAAAAAAAAAAAAAGTGCTTTAAAAGCCTATATACCGGGGCTGGTGAGATGGCTCAGCGGTCTAGAGCACCTACTTAGAGTGAGCTTGGCAAAGCAAAGGGACCACGGTTCAATCCCCCAGCACCACATGCCAGCCAGCCCCGCCCCCTGGTGGGCTGAGCTGGCCACACACACACACACACACACACACACATAAATAAATAAAAAAATTAAAAAATTAAAAAAAAAGCCTATATACCAATGTCTTAACAATACAACGGTATGAACAATTTTGAAATGAGAATATACTTCAGAGAACAAAAGACTTTAACCAAATGCAACATCTGGGTTCTTTTGAATCCTGATTTACATACATTAAATGAAAAAGATATTTTGACATAGGGAAATTTGAGCAAGGTGGTTATTAAATGACACTAGAGAATCATTATTATTTTTAGGTATACTAAAAATGAAAGAATGATTTTACATACATAGTATTCCTGTCATTAGAGATGCACATAAGTAAAAGTGTCATGGTTTCTGAAAATTACTTTAAAATGCTCCTACAAACAAGCAGAGTTATCAAAGGGTCAATAATCACAGCATCTGGGAGATGGGCACACAAGGAGCCTTCTAACAGTTTGCTATATTGGTATATGTGAGAAAAATTTAAAAATAGTCAGAAAAAACAAGTAGATATTTCACAGGCTAAAACAGGAGGAGGAGAAAAGCCAGCTATGGAGGTGCACACCTGTAATTTCAGCACCCAGGAGGCTGAGGCAGCAGGACCACTGTGAGTTTGACCCAGTCTGGCCCACATAGTGGGTTCAAGGCCGGGCTGAACTGCAATAGTGAGACTCTGTCTCAAGAAACAAACAAGAAAAAAAAAAAGGGGTGAAAAGTGAATCATTTCTTCAAATGCTCACTCATTCGTATGCTTATTGCTACACTCAGCTGTGATCAATGAAGTTTACAATGTACCTGAGAAAAATCTCAGAATCCTTGGATCCAATAATGAAAAGAAGTCATCTTAAAACTCTCTTTCCTTTATCACTTTTTAATTAAATTATTTTGGTCAATATTGGGGATCGAACTCAGGGCCTTTGCACTGCACAACATCCTCAGCATTTTTTCTTATTTTGCGACAGGGTCTCACACCAAGTCCCTCATGTGCTGATGCTGGGCTCAGATTCGTAATCCTCTGCCTCATCCTCCCTCCTGGAGAGCTGGGATTCCCGGTCTGCAGCTCCTTGCCTGGCTAAAACTCCATTACCTGCACAGCCAATCTCGTCCTCCCCTGTGATGCAGTCCACCTCGCCGTTGCACCTGTGCTGGTTTGGAATGCAGACGCCAGACTTGCAGAGGAAACTTCCTTCTTGGCACCCTGGGCAGACACAAGCAGAGGAGAGTTTTCTTCCTGTTCTTACATGGGAATGAGGTGGAATGTGCAGCTCAACAGTAAGTTGTTTGCAGGCTGAGCTAGAGGCAGGCACTCGGGGATGCGAAGTGCGGTGAACACCCACCTCTACAGCACAGCTCGTCACTTTGGTCTCCGCAGTCATTGACCCCATCGCAGGCTCTCCCCAGGGGAATGGGCTTCCCGTTCACGCACTGAAAGGACTCGTGTGCCTGGAGATCTGTAGAGCAGGAGTCATTTTTGTGCAATTTAGCAATGGACTTATGGAATGACCTCCTCATGGCCTTTTTAGGATAATGGAGTCATTAAGATGAAGTCAGACCCTAATAAAGTGATATGAAATACATTGGTAGGACCAGCAGAGTCTATGTGACTAACAAGGAAGAAGAAAGGGAAAGCTGGCTGACATCTGTAGGCGCTGGAGTAGGGTGCAGGAGCCAGGAGTGCTCACTACCACAGGCTCCCCTTGCCTCTCACCCATTTCTCTCATGCTACCCCACCAAACTTCCACTCCCAGGACATGTGGGGAGTGACAGTCCTTTTAATTTTAATTTTTATTTTTTTAGAGCTGAGAAGAGAGTCACTGCTTTGGTTTTAACATCATACATATGGCTGGAATATTCCAATGTCAAGATGGAGAGGCAAGGTGGCAAAGGCTGCTGGGAAACTGAGGGACTGGTCTGGCCACCCAAATATTGAACAGGAATGTAGAGAGGCTGCAACTCTCAAAGGAGATGCTGAGGTTTTCTCTAATACTTGACTGACAGATGTTTGCTATAGTAACTTCAATCCAGATGTTCAAGAAAACAAAGCAGCAAAGTAACTTTGCTTCTCCTGTAGGAACCTGGAGAGAAATAGATTTGAAAATGGCTATGAGGAACTGAGGAGAAGCAGTGTGAAAAGAATTAAGATGCATATGTGAGGGGGTGGGGAGATGGCTCAGTGGAATAAGTGCTTCCCTGGCAAGCTCAAGGGCGTGAGTTCAATCCCCGGTTCCGCAAAAAACAACAACAAAAAAGATGCATATGTGTCTGCCCCAACTCTCCATGATGGATGTAATCATTATGTACTGCAAACATAGGCTAATAAAAATCAAAAGCAAAAAAAAGGATGCCCAAGAAAGAACAAGGGATTTTAGAGCCTAAAATCATCAACTTAGGCTCTAAGACCTCACACATGACGCACTGTTGCACTGCCTCTGTGGCTGACCACTGAGGTCCAGTCATTGGCTGACTATCAATGTGTGTGAATGAAAGGGTAGGAAAGGAGCCAGGCAAGGGTTCCACCAACCTGCATCTGGTGTGTAACAGAGCACAGTTGCCACCTCCTGTTGCCCCAGAAATCTTCTCTTGGAAAAGGAGCACTCAGCCAAAGTGGTCTCAAATCCCTGACAGCGCACTTGCAAGCATTCTGTGTTGCTCGTGTCTCCAGAACTATGAATCCACTTCGCAGTGTTAAGAGCACCTCTGCAAACAGAAGAGCGAAACATGATGGCAAGTTCAGTATTTCCACATCCAGGCATCATATTGGAGGTAAGGACCTAGAGTAATTTCCTCTCGTTTTCTGTAAATCTGCAAATTCTGTATTAGTTGGGGTTACAGTCTCTTTACTTTAGCATTTTCAAGTGTAAAAGAGAATGTACTCACTTGGCCAGGTTTTATGAGATGAACTAAGATAATCACTTTAAACTGACTGTCCTGGATGAGGATAGAAGATCTTTTACAAATTTATTGCTCTAACAGAAATTAGAGGAATAAGAAAGGCATGGAATGAGTAGGGTAAATAATAAGCCCAAAATCAGATCAGGAAAATAAAGTCAGTCACATAAGCAATCACAATAGGACACAATGGGCTAAACTTGTCAGTTCATAGCGATTGACATATTGGATTTTTAGAAAAATGCTGCATATAAAAAACAAATTTATCAGGAAGATATAAAAAAAGGCAAAAGTAAAGAAATAGGCCTGAGTTCAATCCCTGGTTCTGAAAAAAAAAAAAAAAACAAAAAACAAAAAACAGAGAGAGAGAAATGGGAAGACATTGTGAACAAAACAGTTAACAACATTGCTTGTTCTAGCAGTTAAAATTACACAACTACTCACATGGCAAACACTCACACCATTTAAAAACTTGTAATCATACAGAGAAATTCTCTGACAGCAATGCAATGAAATAAGAAATTAAGAACAAAAAGTTAACTAACAGCAAGCTAATATATTCATTCAGAAAGTATAAAAAAACCCTTCCAAAATGCAAATAAATCTGAAAGAAATTGCATTAAGACTTTTTTTTTCTTTGTATTTTAGGGAAGGGTCTACAGGGTGTTCAGGGTCTCACTACTAGATCGGACTCAGTGATCTGCCTGCTGACAGCCTCCCAAGAGCTGGGATTACAGACATGTGCAACCACACCCAGTGTCAATTGCTATCTCAGTGCGCTGCGGAGGCAGGGCCAACACAGCAGGCTAAAGGATTGAACCCCCAGCCCCTGTGCCTGCTTGGAGGTGCTTTAATCCACTGAGCTATTTGGCCAGTCCTGAGAACTAGAAGGTATTTTGAACAAAACAGTAAGTAAAATATCACTTAAAGAGTTTATGGTGTGCAGATAAAGTATTACCTACAGAGAAATGGGAACCCTACATGTTTATATTAGGAAGGTAAGAAAAAATGAAGAGGACTGAGTTAAGCATTCAACTGGAGGAATTAGGAAAAAACATAACAGAGAAGAAAAGGGAGAGCTGAAGATAACAGCAATGACTAAGGTAAAGAAGCAACAGAACATTTCCAAATACAAAAATAAAAGACTTAAAATACAAAACAAAACGAAAAATAAAAGACTGGGGGCCTGCCCGTAGCTCAGTTCTTTAAGTGGCTGCTTCAACAAAGCCGTCAGGCTCAGGTTGCTGTGGTTCGATCCCCACTACTCAAGCCAGCCAGTCATGCCTTGAAGGCATTCAGAGCAA